TTTTTTTAAAAAAAAAAAAAAAAAAAAAAAAAAAAAAGACAAAAAATATTTCTGACCTTATCAGCTTTTGTTGGAAGATGGAAAATTGTTGTACAAAGTCTAATTTAAGGGAAATAGAATGACTTTTTAAAGTTAGTCAGTATGCCTTTTGTCTGGTATTGAACCAGAAATGTAAAGTAATGCTGTTTGGAAGGGTTTTAAATTATTGACATTGTACAGTCTCCGTGCATTGGCTCTGGAAGGTAGAGTGGCAGAGTCATAAACCTTAATTTATTTTAATAGCTGTGTTTCTGTGATCTGGTTGCATTTATGCAGCTTGGATTTGGATTTTTTTTTTCTTCTGTTCAACAGTGTGAAATGTATGGAGATCATATTTTTTATACAGGTATTTCAATTAAACTTTTTTTGTATATAACAGTTCTGTTTCTGTGTGTGTGTAGTCCCTTTTATCTTCAGCATTGCTCTTGAATCCAGCTGGGGAGCTAGAGTGCTGTGAAGAACTTCTCTTCTAATTGTCAACAACATCCAACCCATAGTTATTAGGCCTATGCTATCCGCCAATGTCCATTCTGGAAGGATTAAGCAATCGCTCATCTTGGCTGTATCTACTTCTTGGTTACCTGATTTGATGTTGAACTGCAATAGGTGTACAATGCAGCAGCACTAATGACCTACATGAAGGGGGAGGGGCTGTGATTATGTATTTTTTTTCAACTCTGTAAACACTGAATAACTGAAATACCACTGTACTCATTGTCCTTAAACACAACAAAGAAGTGTTTCTGTACTTGCTCATGGTGACTGTTTTCATAGTTGACATGTTTACTTTCCATTACATTCCATTTCCTTCCTCCCTCTTACCCCTTCCTCCTGGGGGTAGAAGGGAATTTCCTGTGCACTTACAGGAAAGGCCAACCAGCATGCTTAGAATGGGGTGCCTGCTTTCCTTCAGCTTCTTGTTATCAGAAGTGTCTGCTGTGTCACTCTGTGAAGTGGTGAAGGTGAAAATCAGCATTCATAGCAAAGAGGAGAGAAGTGCCCTCAACATTCATCCTCCTGTACTGGGAGTCAAGTCCTGCAGCTTGATGTTCATCCTCCTGGTTTCTGTGCAGCCAGAGAGGACTGACCTGACTTGGTCTTTCTATGGGGGTGGAGATGATTATGGGCTTTAACTACCACTGAGGGATCTACGAGGTACTCTTAAGGATATGTTCTGTCATTAAGGGTGCTTTGTAGTATTAATAGTAATGAGCAAGGCTTAAGATCTGCTGGGTTTGTGTTATTTCCCTTTCTGGGGATCTTTCTGCCAGCTCATCTACTATTATTTTGGTTCTCTGCGGGAAATATCTCACTTGCTTACCTCATACCAAGCTCCTGATGCTAACCACCTCAGACTGAAAATGCCAGTGAATAGCAGGGGATACGGCAAAAGGGGAACAGACCATTTCTGTGTGTACAGTTTTCTGATGATGGGGGAAAGAGGAGGTGGCTTTCTCTTGGCTTTACAGACTTAAACTGTCAGTAGGAAAACAAAACAGTGGAGAAGGCAGTTGTATCCATCCATTTGTCATGTTTTTTCTTTCTTTACTTCCTCTCAAGTTTTTAATCAAAATCTCTATGTATATTAAACCCAGTCCCTGAGGAGCTCACATACACCTTTGTTGAAATCAGATGCAAATGAAAAGGTTTTGCAGTTATTCTTGCTGAGCCCAGCCACACCATCGGGTCCTGAGAGTGCAAAGCTTAGAAGTGAAGATTGGGAGGGTAATTGATAACCTTTTCCCTAAGAGGAGGGACTCAGATAAACCAGAGGAGGGATGATCCCAGTGCCTGGCACAGCTCTTCAGAGAGGCGTGTTTCCAACCACAAGTAGTCCCTGGAGAAATTCCAGGAGCTGATGATAATTAACATCTTCCACTCCAGTGGCTTCACATGCGCACAGCTGTTGAGAGCAGTGGTGGTGTGGGCGAGCTTCAAAGGGCTACCAGGAAAGCAGTTCTAAAAATACATCTGTCAAGCTGTTGCTGATCGCTGAACAGGGCACTTTAAAGTTTCCACAGGAGTCTGCTTTACTTTCCTTGCCCTCGTAGAGAAATGCTGCTGAAGAGTTCTGTTTTGCAATCTAAAAAGCAAGTTTTCACCTTTTGCTACTGAGGCAAAATGTGTTAAAAGGAGGAAGGTCAAAAGGACACAGGCGCTGGTGCTGACTCCCCTCTGGGATTAGCTCACATAAAAGGTGTGCTTTCAGTATTGCACAGGCAGCGTTAGTTGTGAAACTCCCTGAATACTAATGGAAGACACGTGGATGAAACACCTTACACTGAAAGTAATGATTTGTAAAAATAGCTTTTCATTACAGCTGAAAGTTGGAAAATGATGTGCTAATATAGTTCCATTAGCTGAGTGTTGCTGTCAAAATGAACAGGTCTGTGACAGCTCCTTCTTCCTCCCGTGCTGCTATCTGTTGTTATTTTAATGTCATTAAACGCTTTTTCCGTGGGATCCTCCTCTTTATACTCTCTGCATACCGGTTGGTTTTCCACAGCATAAAACCTGAAAAACAGAATTCTGCAGCTTGTTCAAAACACAGCTTAAATTGCAGCCGCCTTCAGCCCTAACAAACTGATTTAGCTGCGATCACACCTGTGCTTGTAAGCATGCCGCTCTTCATAATGTGCTTCACATACTCCGGTGCTGAAAGGTTTTAACAATACAGCGTTTTGTATAATTCATTTCCTTAGTAAAACTCGTTCTCTTGCATGAACGCATAAGCATATGCTGACTTCCTTTTTTTTTTTTACTTTTCAGTTAACTAAGCCTGCATTTATTGAAAAACGAAAAAAGACCTCTTTGAAGAAGAATAAATAAATCTGTCAGAAGGGTCTGTTAGGAAGATTGACAAGAGTGTGTTCTCGCCATACTTCTCTCTCTCTTTCAGTGGTTTACTGACCTCTGTTGGTGAAATTAAAGTATATGTTCTGAAAATAACGCATGCATTGAGAAGAGCAATTTTAAAATATTGCTGAGCATTATTTTTACATACTGAGAGGTATGGCTAGCTCTTAAATGCCCCATCATGTTTGAAAGCATACCATTTCCAAAGAGGAAAAAAAAAAAACAACCATGAACATGGAAATAGTTTTTCATTTTATTAACTTCTTAGAGCAACGCTAAGGTAGAAGCGGTCAGTGAAAAATCAGCTATTGGATGAGAGGAGCATGAATGGTAAAGGCTGTCAGCTCTGCATCGAGCCACAGCCTGAAGAGCCCCAGTCACTCACATGGCCCCTGGCAGCAGCATTTCCCAGTGCATTGGCCCTGGTTCTGCAACTTCATTCCAGTCCCGATGAGAAGCACTTGTCCTCTGGCATACGGATGGGCTGTGATTCTCAGCAGTGTAGCCAGATAACACGACAGGCCACTGTGGCCCTATCAGCTGATTAGCAGTGTAATCTTCCTGCTAACAACAGTGATGCTGCTGCTGGTGGCAGAGGGTGAAATGGTGACATTTTAGTTTCATCTCAACACATGGCTTTTCTGAAACTTAAATTTGTAAATTTATGACTGTTTAGTTTCATGGTTAACTGTGCTTTAAAAATATTATATGTATTTGCCTAAGGGGTTCCTTCAGGCACCTGCCATACCAGACATATTGAGCTTTGGTTGTACTGCAGAAGTGATGAATAAAGTGATAGGAAGTCATAAAACCGTGCAATTTGAAATAAATTAAAATCTGTGTTTAGACAGAGTTCCTAAGTAATTTCAGAAAATGTCTCAAAACTGATGAATTCATGTGGATCAATAAAAAATATGGGCAAGAAACACACAAGTTGTCATTATTTGTTACCAGTTGCACTGGAGAACCTCAGAACTGAAGTGTAACACAAGGCAAAACAAGGAGCAGAAACACAAATTCATAACATTCCTACAGAGATTTCCACAGCTAGCAATTCCAATCCTTCCGTTCCAGTAAATTTAGAACGTAATCAATCTTTTTTGTCCTTTGTTGTTCAAAATCCTACTATTATTTGTAATGTGAACTGCCACATTTGAGTTTTAAGAAATTTTATGTTGTTTCCAAGTATCTGTTAAATTTTTTGTATTTGTACCTCAGATGCCTTTGAAAACAAAGTGAAGGAAATTATTTGTATATGGAAGCATTATGCTTACATAATAATATAAATTCAATATAGGTCTCAGATTAGCTGTGTTTAAGCTCTAATTAATATGGTCTTAGTAAGAATACTATCGATTATTACTAATACTCTGCTAATTGACTATACAAGCCATTATGTAAAAGCTGCTTATACTAGCCTGGCAAGAGAATTAATCAGACCCATATTCTAACTTGGGCTTTTTTCTCAGGTATGTCTGTGTTAAACCTTGAAGCTAGGTCACAGACAGCAGAGGAAGATCAGCATGCTTCTTTGTTACTATTAATGACTCAGCAGTCACTTGATAATGAGAGATTAAAGAAAATTTTACTGAAAACTGAAAGGCACCTTTGCTACAGAATTCTAAAAAATGTTTTATCATTCTGTGAAATGTATCATATACCTAGCTGGATTATTTTTACATATAAATTCTACTGGGGAAAAAAAAATGGAGAAGTTGCTTTGCTGGAATAAAACAAAGTTTTGATTGAAACACCTCTGTTGATTGTTATAGATGATCTAGTTTCAAGATTGCAGTTGGTATCCCTCTACTTTTTTTTTCCCCTTTTTTTAGATCAGGAAAACTTTCATAACAGTAATAAGTTTATTCTAGTTAAAAATATGCATACTGTAAGAGTTTAGTTCGTTTGCTTATTTGTTTATTTGTTTCAGATGATTTTATTTTTGTGACAAATGTCAAGACCC